GACGTGCTACTTCAATTTCAGTTTATAAGAAGAGTTTCATTTCAATGCTTTTCTAAATAAGAAAGTTGGAACTGCGCATGCGCAAACCTAAATTTGGAAGCTAACGTTAGATTTTCCATTGTTCCAAGTGGCTATGTATCGAATTTCATTTAAATCCCTCCATAAATAAGAAAGTTGGCACTGCGCATGCGCAAAACCAAATTTTGAAACTGGCGTTAAATTTGCTTTTATTCCAAGTGCCTATGGATAAAATTTCATTTAAATCCCTCCATAAATAAGAAAGTTGGCACCGCGCATGCGCAAAACCAAATTTTGAAATTGGCAATAAAAGACCAGCAGGTTGGGTGAAATTCAACACTTTATTTTCTGTTTATCGCAATCGATCATCATCAGGCGTAGCGTCAATCGATTGCGATAAACCGAAAATAAAGTGTTGAATTTCACCCAACCTGCTGGTCTTTTATTTCAAATAATGAAATTCAAATTAGAAGAGTTCATCAACAAAATTTGAAATTGGCGTTAAATTTGCTTTCATTCCAAGTGGCTATGTATCAAATTTCATTTAAATACTTTTATAATTAAAAAGTTTGCAATTCGGTTTATAAATGGTCGAGATGCGAAAAGGGCACTGTGAATTTTGAATCGATTCGACTCAACTTTTGGCTAAAGGTATGCCCATATTGAATTTCATGCAATTCAGTTCATAACTAACGGAGATGTAAGAGCGATCGGACATTTCTAAACAAAGTTATCGTTCACACGGACAGATAGAGGGATAAACAGACAAAGGAACAGACGGACAGACCAACAGGCAGACGACAGACAGCAATGCAAAATTATAAACGATCTCTAGGATCGTTAATAAACGGCAAAAGTGTAAAATTATGGAACATGTAAACAAAGGTTTTTTGTTTTTTTTACAATAACTTTTTTTTGTAAGCGGTACAGAAAAAAATCCTTCCTTGGTGCAAGATTCGACACCATAACGAACCAAATAGCGAAAAAGTAGAACAATAGCTCTTAAGATAAAAAACTAGTAGCGTCTCAAAACGAGCGGACGGACGGACAAAGTGGTCATAATAGCGCCTTTTTTTTATTTTGAAATGCGCTAAAAAGCATAGAGCATAAAATTTATAATATGATAAGGAGCAAAATCGAGGCAAAGAAGTTCAAGTCATACGGAGAGTGTGCCTGTGAGGTTGGAGTGCCATTCTAATTAGAACCGTAAAAGTACAATCATGGGGTAAGGATGAGGGTAAGGATTAGGATAAAATGAGCACGAAATGAAGGTACATAAAGCATTCCAATTTTACAGCATCGAATAAATCGAGAACAAAACATATTTTGTATCCACGTGGCAAAAGAATAGGTACTACAAAATGATTTAAATAGAAAAAAAAAGGATTTCAGTCGCCGTCGCAATTATACAGTCGTACTTGTATAATACAAGGATGAAGAATAGTCGACAACGAAAATTATGGCACGAAAACTGATTTTTACTAGAGCCATGAAAAGGTTTTTTTTTGACATGGAAAATTCGGGTAAGAATTTTTTCAATCAATTCTAAGAGAGAATAGGGCATAAAAGTACGGCAAGAAAGATTATGGCAAGGAAACCGACTTTTAAACGACATGTTTACGGATCGGCCTGAACTCAACTTTGTGGGTGGATGCTAGAAATACGAAGATACTATGGCCAAGAAGCTCCAACAAAAGTTATATCAATAAAACCGAGACGAAGTTGCAAACAGTTGTGGCTAAAAGGTGTTCTAGTTTTCGCAACTGCGGTTATGATACCTACTGTAAAATTGCGTTTTCTAGTTGAGAATTTGGACTTCTTGGCGTTTGATTGACTAATTGCAGTTATTTTTTATGTCCCGACCCCTACATTGAGGAGAGGGAGAGCGTCTCGCGGTTTATTACAGTTAAAAGAATCTCCTGTAACTACGGCAGCTCCAATGAAGTCATAGTGAACTGTGATTTCCGTAACCAGATTCTGAGTTGTCCAGGAATTCTGTAAAATTGTCACCAATTTTGTAGAATAGGTTTCGAAAGTTCCAGATTTCCATGTCATATCACATACATAAAAAAAGTATCTTGGTGGAATATTTGCGTGCAAAATGCCCCGCATGTAACTCAAATTTGACGTACACACAAGTTGACACATACTCGTTAAAGTTGCTGCACACTGCTCTCCAGCGTCGGTAATTAGAGTCTGGTTGCAGCACTTCACAATTCGATGTTTAGAAGTTTCGTATACTTAACCATCAATATAATTCCTTCAAAGCAATTAACGTGTAAATAACGACTCGGCGCACATTAGCTTAATTAACTATTCGATTTGGAATATGACAAGCGAGCCGTGGTCTCTTCGCCTGTAATTTATGCATATAGTGTTTTCTCAAGCTAGAAAGGTGCAAACAAGACACCCCCTTTAGAAATATGAAACACACAACTGCCGCCAATCAATTACCGGATACTTCACCGAAAGCGCAAGTTTTACACGACCTTTTGAATTTTGACATACTTCGACAGCATGATTGATACCGTAATGCATCGTTTAATTACCATAATGCAAATTTCGTGCTAAGCAGTGAAAATTGCGCTAAACATGTTAACTGAATTCCTACTTCGAAAGATTACGAGAGGGTCGGCTGCAGCGAAAATTGCCCCGGACGACGTTCTTAAGCTTCAAGGAACTACCCCGTCCAAAGTAAGTGATGTGAAAATTAATGCCCGTTGACAAATTTGTGATATCGGTCCGGGTTCTTTCACTTTTGTTCTAATGACATTAAGTTATGCGTGTACAAGGAATACTAATGTTCTCAACTAATTATGTCATTAAGATCAGCCTTCGTCTGTCAAATTAATATTTTAAAACAATACCGTTTTCTACATGATTTGAAGGTCTTGTCAAGATTAAAATTGCAACCATTCCTCTTACAGTAGAACATACGATGGCGGAGAAAGGCCATAGTGATAATTTTTTTATCATTTCTACTTTTAAACTAGAAATTCCATATCGATTTCGGCCAATATAACTTTAGAAAAAATATAATCAGCGCCAAATTGGATTTCTTATTACCCACTCTCCTATAATAAAGAAATAAATTTAAAAAAATATGGAAAACTTTACAAACAAAATGGAAATTCCACTTTTATACTGAAAATTCTATTTTTAAACAAGAAATTTTAGTGGAAATTCCACTTTTAACCAAGAAATTCTACTTTTAAATTGGAAAATTCCACTTTTAAACGGGAAATTCCACTTTTAAACTGGAAATTCTACTTTTAAACTGGATATTCCACTTTTAATATTTAAATGTGAACTTTTTTGATTACCTACTCTAAAAATAAATGAAAAATATCAATTGATTTGTACAGTTTTAGTAGGCTTGGTAACGAATTTTACGTGAGTGCAAAGTTTAAGTGCAAAAAAATGTCGGGAGCCAAACTTAAAGCTCTAATACGATCCTATTTTTCGCTAAGACTGCAACAATATGAATTAAAAACTGTGTTGGGAGTATTTATAAGCGAACGCCTTTGCAGGGTTTTAATGAAACTTGACCTCTACAGAAGAAAGCATACTTCTGGCATCAGCAAGTGGTGCAATTGCCAGAGCTTTAAATCCAAACGTCTAGACAACTACATGGCTATAAATGGATGCACTTTCGATGTTTGCAAAATAATTTGATAGCATCTCAAGAAGTCGTGCGAGTATTATTACACATATTAGATCCTTGTGGAGTACCAATTAGAAGCAGAAGACGTTTGCGTCGCAGAAGCTATGGTAATCAGGGAACAAATTATTTGTGGCACATGGACTGTTAGGATAAGAGCTTGAAGCCTTTTCAGGGAATTCAATTCCATGGCTTGAAGCCATTTTCTAAGTGAGGGCTTGTCGCTTGACTTTGAAATTCCTTAAGAGCTTTGGAATTTGTAAATTGAAAAAGGGCTTCAATTCCTTTACGAAATTCAGAAGATCGACAAAAAGTTATAATTAATGCAGCCCTAGAACTAAAAACTGAGGAAACTTGTTTTCACAATGAATTTGATGCTCCTCGAAAACAAACCTTATCTGAAGAGCATTTTTTTAAATTTGATAGTGACGAAAGATACTGTTTGTCAAGTACAACACTGCGTTACCCTCCAGTGCGCCAGTACAAAGACCATTTTCATTCACATCTATAGTAAGCTCACCCAAAAGACATAATTGACAAGAATTTGAATTTTGAAAGTTTAGTAGGTATTATTAAAAGCCAACAAGGATTATTCTTAATATCTTATTTAGACTTCACAATACCTAAATATTATGACTATTTAATCATTATTAGTTTGTTTTTTGTTCTGTGTATAGAACTATAGACTATAGATTTCAGTTTGAGTTAGTATTATTAAAAAAATTAATGTAATATTATTTATTCATGTGTTCCCCTGGTTATCCATTAAAGCAAATGAGATTTAATTCCTTTAAAAAGGGCTTAGGGCATTTGTCCAATTCCTTTTTTAGTGAATTGGGAATTTTTGAATTATTGTGTAACATAAATAACGCTCTAATTAGAAAAACAATGTTTATTTAAAAACCAATCATACCAATATTCAAATTAAATGCTATATCTCACTTAATAATGACTTTCTCTTAGACATATAAAATTACAAATAACAAAACCTACCCTAATTTTTTTTAACAAAGTCCATTATTCGGATCTAAATTCGGAAAAGTACCTATGTATACTTGAAATTTCTAAAATTTGCCCACAAGTTCGAGCTGTTGGAGTCCTTAAAAATCTTTCAGTGTATTAAGGTTACTGAAATCGGTGTGCCTGTTAATATATCTACCACTGTACAAAATCTCAAAAAGAGCCTAAGCTCTTGCGGAGAACTTTTTCGGGTAATTTTTTTAAATATGTGGAAACTCTGTCGCAATCCGAGGTCTTACCTAAATAGGTCAAGGAAAGTTCACATCGAATCCATAGTGCTTTTAATAATTCATCTACTGTCATTAGCTCTTTTAGGATTGGTTTCCAACAATTTCCACGTTAGAGCTATTCACAATTGTTTTGCAATCCAGACTTTCAATTATTTCTAAAAACTCTTCCTTGTCTATTTTTTCGAAATCGGCTAAAGCTATAGTTCTAAAGTACTCCTCTCATACTTGCTAATGCATTTTAGAAAAGATTCCTTTACTTCCACAGAGAATTTGCCAAAAATACAAAGCTCCATAAACGGCTCTACAATACCAATTGGAAGATATCCCAGTATCAAATTAAAAAAATATATCCTCTTCAGATATAAGTTTTGTTTTCGAGGAGCATCAAATTCATTGTGAAAACAAGTGTCCTCAGTTTTTAGTTCTGGGGCTACATTAATTATAACCTTTTGTAGATCTTCTGAATTTCGTAAATGAATTGGAGCTCTTTTTCAATTTACAAATTCCAAAGCTCTTTTAAGAAAGAATTTCAAAGTCAAGCCCTCAATTAGAAAATGACCACGGAATTGAATTCCCTGAAATTTTGTGATAAGCAGATAATTAGTCCAACATCTAGTTATCCACTGTTATTTTTTTTATTATGTTGTTTTATGTTTATCACGTTACCCATATCCATATATTATTTTCCATATCAATTCGGTAGATAAACGTCGAAACTAAGAAATCTAACAAGAAAGGTCACAATGTGTGGCCACCACATTTTCGGAAATCAATTTTCTATGATAATACTGCTAACTTCACAGCCAGATCCTTGAAGTCCTTATAGAAGTATTTTTAAAAAGTAGTTGGGACATTGAGGGAAGTACACCGGAAAACATAACAATCTTCCTAAAAATCGTAGAGATCTTGAAATACATAATGACAAATCCTTTTAAAAACGATATTTGGACCTCAGACACTTTATAAATGCTTTAGAACCTTTCGGAAATCTCCTCAAGAGTTTTTAAAGAAATGTTCCTAGAAATCTGACTCGATGAAAAAGGGGATCTCATCATCATCAGAAAATTGTCATTTCTTAGTGATGAATTGTGACCTACTGAATTGCTCGCATTTTAAAGTTGGAACGGGGGCAATGGACACACAATATTGAATGTTCTGTTATCGTTGTCGTACATTGCCCTAGCGAAAATAAGGGGGTATATAAGTGAAATACCGAAAAGTCGATTTTTTCGGCTACCATCATTGGAAGTGTAAACTGAGAATACACCTTCATCGCCAACTAAAAGTGTTAGGATGATTTCATAAATAATTTCCACTCTCCTTTTTGATCTAATTTGACAGGACTGCTGGAGCAAACAATCCATCCAAAAATTGCCAATATGTTCTAAGTGTATATAATTCTGTACTTAGTTAATAAAAAAAAATTGCACTCAAAGTTATATTTGCTCTTTATAAATCTTGCAAACTTACCTTCTAACCATAATTTCAATTATACGGGCGTAGCAGCGAACTTACCATGTTATTACTATTATCTCGGAATAGATCGGCAAAAAAAACAACCGTTTGTTTTCAATAGCCGCAACGTTTGTTAAACAAATTAAAGCAACTACTCTAAAATTACTTCAAAATATATTGTACACAGCTACAGGGAGTGGTCGTGATTGTAAAACTTACGGAACATTCCTTTCGAGATTGGAAACGGAGCTCGGGGGCTTCGCCCCAAAATCTTCCAGAATATCCTGCGTAAACGACATAGATATTACGCCTTTGATTATTTAATGTAACAATTCTGTATTAAAACTGTGTTATACGCTTACATGTGTTAGGTAGTGAAATGAAGACCAATTAAACAGTTCACGAATTTGACCCAACCGGTCACAAATTTATAAAATTTAAAGCGAATGTTACTAAATAACCAGTCGAGTGTAACTATTAGATGAGCGGTTTCCATTTAATAACAAATGTAATATACTTAACTGTCAGCGCGGCTAATTATAAAATTTACCAGTCATAAATTAATACTGTAGATTGGGGTTATGCTCCCTACCGGCTACTGGACTGTTTTCCAAATTACATTAGTTTGTTTTGATTTTGCGTACGAAGGCTTTTGAAGTCTTACAGGATTTGAATGAAATGAAATATAATCATAGCATCATCGATGTCAAGTAGTTACACAGCGTGATCCAATTTAACAAGTATACAACTTCTTGTAAAACCAATGGGAATCCGGTAGCAAAATTTATACATGATCAAAATCGGTCACATATTTCACACTTCGCAAAACTAACTGGAATGGCGGCTGATCTGACATAGGTACTACAAACACATTGTTTGGGGTGCTTTAATTTGTTGTTAGTGCTCAAAAATAGATCAATGCTTTATTATTTTGAGATTATAAACAGTATCTACTTCAATTTTTGCTGAGCACTTTTAGTTCTTATTTAACAAATCAAATTTAAAGTATCCTTTACGTCAACTTGGTCAATGAGAGCTCAAAAATTAGAACGCTATTATGCTCTGCTTGTACATTTCCTTCTAACTATACGTTTATTTGACAAACCCAAAACATTTGGTGTCAATAGTTAGTCCCCTGATATAGTCGCACTAAAAAATCTCCCCTGAACATTTCCCGTCAAGAACCTTCACCAACAACAGTTTGCGGTACAATTCACTGCCGGCTAATTCACTCTCGGAAAGTGAGCTTTTTACTAAGTGTTTGGCATCGCCGATTTTGTAATTTTTTTCTCTATCGAGTAACTTCAAAATCCAATATGGCGTCCATAAGAAATAAGAAAGTTAATGTGATTTAGGTACATGAAACCCACAGGTAAATGTTTCGGGTTGTGTTTTCTAAAAGTGACAGCGTGACAGATCTCATTATTGACTACTAGTTAATAATGTCCACATTATCATTATCATTTTTCTACTAAGTACCGTCCCTTTTAAAATATCACTTGTAACAACTAAGTCCGCCATGTTTTTTAATTACGCCAATTGGAATCGTTATACTGTGAAAGCACAGAAGAAGCCTGGTGAGTAATCTCCTCCTGGTGACCTAATGGGCGAGCTTGCAATTATAACCAAATACCAAATAATTAAAATGACTGAATATGAGTTAATTTGTTATTATCGTGTCGCTCCTTCGTCTGGATGCCATAAAAAACAATGCTCTCTTGAGCTAAAATACGCAGCAAGGGCAAGCTTAATTTCCAACACGGCTTAAAAATCCACCTATGGAAAATCCGAAAATCAACTCTCTACAATTCGACAACCTGTAACATTTCCATGATATGCAATGCCCAAACTCCTAAAATTTTTAACTTTACAACGAAATTTCGAAAAAATTGAAATGCAAATTTAGAGCTACCGTTACACGAGTTCTACCTACTTCATATACCCTTTATACTTTCCGGTTCTATCACATTTCTAAAATTCTGTGTATTCTTGCGGATTTTTCGAATTATTAGACTTGTTCAAATTCTTTAAATTCTTCAGACTCTTCGCCTTCGAATACCTGATGGTATGTCTTTTCTTCTTCATCTTGCATTTCTCGTACAAAAAAATTTCTCGATTACTTACTGCAGATTGTATGATTATTAAGCTTAAGGGCCGGTTTTTCTATCTCTCGATAAATGTATTCGGAAAATCAGTACCTTGACAACGATTGTATCAACAATGGTATCCATATAATTTATTCGGAGAGTAAAGTTACTGGGAGGTGGAGATCGGGCCTAAGACAAATTAGTAATACCAGTAATACAAACTGGCTACAGTAAAAGGCTTGCTGATACCCTGAAACACCATTACATTCCACATAGGTGGTTACAAAAGAGAGCACGTGTAATTTATAATTATCATACTTATAGAAAAATGCAAAGTATCTGCTAACAGTAGAATAAACGGTAACCAAATTACGGTCTTGAGAGTGTAATAAATTCACCCGCATCCACTCTACACACCTCGAGGGTTTCAGCGCGAACACCTTTCGGAAAAGTTGGCATGAAATATGTTGGACAACCCGTTTTAATGACTTTAAAAATTATTGCTACGGACAAGGGAGTGACTAACATGTCCCAAACAAATCCTTCAGTAGTTCACAATGCAACCGCTGTTCTTGCCTAAATTTTATAATTATTCATCGAAAAAAAACCGCTTTAAGGTAATTGCTAAGTGAGAACTAGATCCAAAATGCGTGTACTAATTAGAATGTCCCTAAGGCACATAATAATTCGAATGATTTAATTTATATATATACGCAGGTAAATAGGTATACTATTTATGGCAGTAGTAAACAGAGTGACCTATGGGCGCAATTAAATCGGCATCAAAATGTTATGTAGGAATAAAAAGCACGGGCACTCGAGGCGATTACGTTCGTCTACCTTTACATCTTCATGTGCCGCCACCATCACTATTGTAATCTAAAGTTCTCGAACTGTTAATGAGCACATAAAAGCGTAGAAATGTGACAATTACAGGTAAGGCTTCCACGAAGATTCCGAAATGAAATCCTGAAAGGCAGTGACTCTCGTATAAACTCCAGGTTTGCCAACTTCTCCACACCCAAAGGCATGGGAAACAATGCCAACCTGTTCTAATATGTTTCTCATTCTCCACACAAGGATTGGTCCACCGGAATCGCTCTAAGATCACCAGTTTGTTAACAGTAGAGAGAATGTATGCTCACCAAGCACGAGTCACCTCCGCCGTTACCACCGAAGCAAATCATGGTGGTAGCGTTAAAGTTTGGATAGACCTCCGCGCACTTCTCTTCGCTTACTTTAGGTAGTTCCACCATTTTCAAGTTGGGAGACGAGCGACCGCCGTCCTCAGCGCTGGATATACCCCAACCGATAACTAATCCAACCGCGTCATCCGCTACCGAATTGTCTGAGTGGAGAAGATCCACGGGACGCGTAGAGTCGAAAGCCGAATCCAACTCCAAGATCGCGACATCGTTTTCGAAAGTGACGGGGTTATAGTCGGGGTGCTCGAAGATGGTTTTAACCCCCCTTAGTTCGCCACCCTTCTCTCGGGTCGACGTTCCCGCGCGTACTTGCAGACTTTCCTTTTGCACGCTAGTAATTGTCAACGTCAACTTAGATCGAGACCACAAACCGACTCACCCATAAACGCAATGCTCAGCAGTCATAAGAACGAGCGACCGGAGCATCGTCCCTCCGCATGTGTGCACTCCATTCTTCTCTATCGAAACCTGCCAGGGGTAATTTTCGATGCTCACTTCTTTTACGACAGCGGCTGCAACTCGAAATTAAGACCGTTGCCTTTCACGGGCAGTTAATGTTACCAACTGTCGTGGTTATCACGAGGAGAATCCTCACCCACATCGTTAATATGCAGGAATAATTGTTCCGGATTTACTTTTATCATGTACAGTTATTAGACCGATGAAGTCAGCAATTACAGATAAATGTTATGGCAATAGTAAAAGTTTTACGACACATATATCATTAAATAGTTTATTAGTAAAAAAACACTGGTGTGGTGTAAATACTGAGTCATGCCTGGGAAATTGATAGAGATTATAGTCGTGTTTAGTTAATCGACAAAAGTGTGTTCCATATTTCAGGTGCAGAAGATCTAGGTATACTCGAATTGCAACTCTTTTTGGAACTCAAATTTTTCAAAACACGGAAATTTCCTCAATGCTTTGTTAGAAATTCTTTGCAGGTTCCTTAGCGATTTTTTTTAGAATTTCATAGTTTTTAGAAATGCTTCAGGACACGCTTACTTCACGACCCATTGTTACTCCTTCGGGACTCCTATTTCCCTACTTCAGACTACCACACGTCCTTTCCTGGGACCACATCTCTTTGTATCTGACTAGTGCTTTCTCTTCCGGGCTTGGCAAGCCTTCTCCACTATCCCAACTGCTTTATATCACACTCACGTCTCTTTCATGACTCATTTCCTAGATATTTCAGCTTTTCGGTAATAAAGCCCTCTTATCTCATTCCTGTCACGTAATCCTCACTGGCACCATCTTGTCTTATTGGCCCTTTTCATTTCCTCCACTTCATGCCTTCTACAACCCAGTGTAACGTCTCTTCTCCACTTCTTCATGGATATTTTACGTTTCTGTATCGCTTTCTTTACAACTTCTTTACGTCTTATTCGATATTGCATATTTCCTTCACGTCTTTTCCTATTGCGTCCCTTTCATGCTTTTTAATGCCATCTTCGCACCTTCTGCCCACGCATTACACGGACCATTCCTCGTTCTCACGTGTCCTGCCTGTTTTACTTCTCTTAAAAATTGTATGACTGGGTGAATTGTAAAAATCTGTGTCATTTGATTTTTATAGAGCGTTGTCCTCTTAATAGTTTTAGGAAATTCTCAGCTACAGAAAAGTTGCAGATAATAAAAAGTAATTTTGTTTCAGTCGGGTTGTTGACCAAAATTTTCTCGTAACAAACAGTGGTTTAATTACTAGAAGCCATCCCGGCAAAGGCGCTAATTAATTAGTAATTAATTATGTAGGGGTTACTCCGGAAGATTTTGCATTCATTCGCGTTTGAGCCACCGATACGACCAATTCGTGCTCCATAGTAAGATTTTACATTCATTCGGTTCTAGGTTACCGGAGCATGCAGTGCGTAGTACAAAAGTAAGTTTTTTCTCTTAGCGGGTGGTTAATCCGGGGAAGTTTTAGAAGAAATTCGGTCGAAAACTACCAAGAAGTAATCACGTAGTTTCGTAACGAGTTGGGTTTTTTTGAACACCAGAAAACCATCATGCAATTACGAGCGTTTTTCTTGAAACGGCAATTGAAACTTGAGTTACGTGCGTGTCATTTTTCACTACCCGCACATAAGTAAGGGAGGTTTTGCATTGGTGTACAAAATGCCCCCTTCCACTTTTTTGACGGAAATACACGTTTTGACGCACCGGGAGGACACCTCTGAGTCCACGGGAATATAAAGAGCACCAGTTGGCATGGAAAAATCGCAAGAACTTTCCACTTCTAGCCAAAAGTGGGAACCCGGCGACAGGAAACCCCATCTGACCGTTATCCGACGATACCAGGAAATAAAAAAGGACTCCAAGCATGTCAGTCTCATATTTTTGTCTCATCTCCGCTCTTTTTCAGTTCTACCTTCCTTCTCACTGTTGGTTTTCATAAAGATTTGTATCATCGAGTCTGTTGTACAACTCTCCCTTCACACCTTCGTCTTCCAAATCTCTTCCACGTATTCTTAGGGCTCATAACTAGTGTGAGGCGAGCATATTTCAAAGCGAATTTTGCATTATTTCTGGAAATATTCGGGAATATGGGCACTGAACGAACGAATATCCGCACATCAAAAATTTAAGCGAATATTTCCCATAACTTCTTGAAAACTTTACGAGGACATTTTTCCGAAATTTCCAATTTATAATGGTTTTCAGGGGATTTTTTTTTCGAAAGAACCGCCCCCTTCCCTTTATGTGATGGTTTTGTTCTCGGCTTTGTCTGTTCGTCTGTCTGGAACGAGAACGAAAAGAGACAATGATGTTAAACCTACTTGTTCAAGGATCAGTGATATTGAATATGAATCGGATTAAAAGTTGTGTCAAAAAATTCCCCTGAAAATCGTCTGCGATTCTTCGTATCTTGTTAATTAGCAACTCCCGATTTTGAGTGGTTACGCTAACGTTAAAAAGTATAAGCGTGCACTAGTTTGGTTGTGAAAGTTCTTCATTACTATCAAGTTTTAAGATCAACACCATGTAATTTTTTGAATATCCTATTTTCGAATTTTTTAGTGAGTGTCAGAATTTTTTGAATTTTGTTTAGAAGGTGCAGTATATGTTATCGCTTATGAACTGAGACTGCAAAGTTTTTCCTTTTTATGTGGGTTAAATAAATTATTTAAAGCTCAGATGCGTGTTATTGTTTAAAAAAAAACATTACTTTATTAAAAGTTTGATTTGGTCTTTGGTGTATTGTAATTAGTATAGAATATTATAATGAATATTGCCATTGTATTTTTCGTTTATAAATACAATGATATTACCGAAAGCTTAATGGCACAAATAGGCTTACTTCAGGTTTTTTGGGTTGCTGCATCCAAATTTTTTTTCAATATTTGGGGGATGCAGGGGGAATTTTTAGTGGGAAGTTAAAAATTCGGGTTCATCGACACGGATAACATAAAACAAACCTATGTCCAGAACTACCATGAATTTTGCATCCTAAAATTATATATTTCCTGGACTACTTATTTCAAAATTCCTTGAAATATTTCTCACGTTAAATTATTCATTCCTTATCCACGATTACTTTACACTTCCTTTGCCAGTTCTTTACGTTGTTACTAAAACACACCCCCAGCAGATATTCGGATATATTCCTCGGCTCCGAGGGTGCATAATTTGCCTACGACTCGATCTCGGGTACCGCCCTATGATTATACTATTGCAACGAATAGGTCATGGTATGGACCCAATACGAAAAATCAAAGTCTCATTGCTAACAAAAAGAGTTCGGGAATTGCAGGTATGTTTACAGGGAGCAATGAGGGGATCGACGGTCCTATAGTCAGAATGCGGTAGGTACCGAATGTTTGATACAATAGAGCTACGTAAAAAAAGTTTTAGGAACTGAAAACTTTTCAGGCACGTTTGTTGAGTAGGTATACAAGTTGTGCTACAAGTTTATACAAAAGTCAACTCATAATTCATTCTCCAGAGACGAAGTTCCGAGTTTTCGCTAAGAAAACATTTGACAAAGAGTTAATTAAGCCAACTTCAAATCGAGTAGAAAGCGCACCTTAGATATCGAAATATCAACACCGTATTCAAATCGATATTAATATGACCCATCCCAACTCTTACCGCAATTTCTAATTTGAAGGTAGGTATGTCTAGGAATTATGTAAATTTATAACAAATTGCAGTACAAATATTTACTTTATAACAACAACACAACTTACAAAAGTTGCGAAACTCCACATTTGTAAGTAGGAAATGACAACATCGTGTACTTATTAGCATAATTACATTCCTGTGCAATTTTTGTTTTATGCATAGGTATAACCACTTTGTCACTGCCGTTATTTGCATTATTCAGAACTTTTCAGCAAATCGGGTAAATCTGCACGCAATCATTACGGCGCCATCTTCTTGCAGCCGGTCGAATTCCAATCGAATTTCTCTTATACGCGCAGATCTCGATTCTTGGAAGCTTAATTTTGTGGCGTTCTCGTGGATGGCGGTGACCATATAAAATTTACTTAGTTTCTTAATTAATTCGCGAAAAGGTGTTTGGTTACTTTATTAATTAAAAGACGCTCCTAAAGTGTCTTTTAACTGAAAATGAACACCTAATTTTCCAGTTTTATGAGTTGGAGGTCGGGGTGTTCTTTTTACAAATTTAAAAGCTTTCTAGGCTGTCAACTTCGTTCTTGTTCTTCGCTCGCATAGGTAGTTAAAAGCAGGATGGAGTTTCTGAAAATTTCCACTCTATATTTTCCGGTGATAGGTAGTAATGTAATGTGACATTATTTTACGATTATTGTAATTTAAAGCTTTTCCGAGCAGAAGCAAAGACAAGAAATAGAACAGAGATGTGGAATAACAATCAGCCACAGATAAAGTATTTTTTCTGTACCTACTTACTTGGGAGGCGAAAGTTTCCTATTGAATGTTTCATTGTTTCAGTTATTGAATTAATTACTAGAAAGCTCTAAGCTTAGTGTCTAGTAAGTTTAATCGGTGGGCCAATGTAAAAATAATGCCAAAAGACTATTACTTTACCTTCGAACGCTCTTCCTGGAAATACGCCGAATAAATTTGCCTTTTCGAAAGAAAGCGACAGTACGGAATTTGTAGTATTTCGCTTAATATAAAGCTCGCCAATGGGAGTAGAAGTGCAGGGGTTAGTTTCTTGAATTTCCTTTCTTGTGAACGTAAATCTTCCACAACGACTAATTCTGTTGAGAGCAAACATTTCTAGCGCGAATTATCACGGATAATCTTCTAGAATTCTATGGAATCCATTTCTCAGGTAAATTAGTCTCATCAAAACATGCACCGGAAAATTCGGACATGGTTGCATTGAGAGCGTTGTCCTCCAAAAAATTCGTCTCTGGGATAATGGAAATACAATGCAATTTAGTCCGCGTACGAAAAGAAAGTATTTTTTGAGTAGAAAAATGGTTAAAAACGCAGGGTAACCCTAACTAAATTCTCAATCCTTTAATTGATATTTATGTTGCACACAGGAATGATTAGATTAGTACAGCACGTTGCGTCACCTCGCACTTCTCGTTCCGTAAGAGCCCTACCCTAAAGTTGAGGGTGTTTTGCTCGGGAGCCGATATTTTTACAGTAGATGCTGTCGTTCGTCCTCTGTCGGACGCGTACGTCAAAACGATACCTCAAGCAATGAGGATTTTTGAAAAGAGATTATGTTTTTTTTTTTGGGTCC